AACATGCATATTCATCGACAACTTCATTATGCAAGAGGTACGTCATACTGGACTGGTGTAATGGGTCTCTTTTTCACTGTTGATTTCGCTTCTTCCGGTCCACCGTGACTACTTCAGCACGTTTCTTTCCAACCTTTTCCATGCGGAGGATGTTGCTTGCATTCCACTTTATGTATCGTTGGTAGACCGTAGGAGTATGGGTCCCGGCAGCTGTCGACTCGTGGTCTCAGAGGTCTGCTGTAGAGAAGGACATGATGAATACCTGATGGGTTTTAAGCAGTTAAGTTTTAAGGTTCTGAGATAGACTACAACTAAATTCGCTTCATTACTGTATCGTTGAAATTTGGACACGTGCAACTTAGGACACATCACACTGCTCAGTCAGTTTCGGTACCTACCACTATTATATGGACACCAACCAGTTTAGCCCATGCTGAAAACTTATACGGAAAATCAACATGCGCCCCACATCATAAAACCTATGCGGTCGGCCATTTTCGATATAATACGGATCATTGACAACATCTTAGAGAAGAATGCAGAGAAGACTTTCATCAGAAAGTGCTTAAGTGTATAAATTGAACCAACGTGGCTGAATCGCCAGTTTAGAATGAAGCATTGTGGAAACGGGAAAAAGAAAACTCACGAAACGTTGTCTATGGAATACTTAAGACACCAATACCACCCAACCCAACACCGGCTCAACACACCAAAACTGGACACAAATGCTAAACTTCAGTGACGCTGCCCTCACCAAGAAAAAAAGCCGAAGTAATGAGTCTTGGACAAAAATTCGTTCTACCCCAAAACAAGTCACAAGCAGATGACGCAATTTTTGGAACAGGATCATATCGACTACTTCAAGGAAAACAGCTTGCCAACATCCTTCAAAAAATTCAACCGCCTCGCTAACAAAGGAGAACATCTCCCAAAAGAAAGTGATCACATCGCTGAAAAAGAAATTTAAAAAGTAACAAACTAGTGTTCCTACCGGAAGATGAGGGCAACTGTACAATCAATTGAACAGAGGAAGTTGAACTAATACGAGGAGAAGCCCAAAGTCTTCTACGAGATAGCTGAGCATACTACAAAATCCGCCGGATTCAAAGAAGCACCAGCCTGACGCAAGTACACCGGCAGATCAGAGGGATCACCAGTCGGCAAAAAATTGATCAAGGTAGAATGAAAAGATAGATTGGACCTCTCAG